GATTGAGGCTGGAGGGTCCCGCTAGATCCTTTTACAAGTACAAGTCTTACAGTGAGTCTGAGAAGAGGAGCTATGATGCTCTGAAACCAGCTCTTGTTAAAAGATTTACCCCTGTTCAACTGACAGCAGTACAGACCAGCAGGGGAGACAATTAAAGTTCGAATGAGTCAGCTGATGAGTATATATGCTTAGGAGTTGAGGAAGTTATTATATAAAACATGTCCCCCAACCTATCATGGGACTCCGAAGCAGAATTATTAGGCAAGAGGAGTGTTCTCTCTAATCAATCTGTTGTAGAAGGGAATTTCAAGGACTTGGTGTGTAAGGCTCGCTTGAAGAGGCAAAGTGGAAGGAGACAAACCTTGGGACAGAAGAGAAACCAAGGGGAAAAAAAAGCCTCCAAGCCTAGTGATGACTCTGAAGAGAAATAAAGGGGGCTACAAGTGCCATCGATGTGGCAGTACACAACACTTTATTCGTGACTGTCCATTCGAAGGATGGAGAGCAACAAAAGAAGCTAGGTCTTATTTTGTAAATGGTAGGTTCATTACATGTACTATAATCTTGTTATGTCATCACAACAAGACTGTAATGTCCCACCCTATGCCTCCCCTTGCATGATTAATATTGTGTTATGTCTGTGCATATGTCACTTCATGTAATAATGCATCTACGTTTGCTAAAATCTGTATAAACATTTGTTCCCTAATTAAGATTGGTTTAGAACTTGCTCTTTGTGTGTCTTGTGAATTTTAAGATTCAAATTTAAATTTTAGATATTCAATTTTAAAATAAAATTCAATTTTAAATTTACAAGTTGTTTGTCCTAATGTTATCGTAAGATCATGTTAACTTGTATTCCTTTTCTTTTGATTAGGAGAGACTGATATAATCTGCCCTGCTAACTGTGATGGCCAGTCATGACCACATCCACGGCTGCAGACCGCGGCTGAACTAAAGAAACAGAAGTGGGAGGCCAGAGGAGAGGAGCTCGCTGGTTAAGAGAAGAGCGAGCTGGAGGCGAGGCTAGAAACCTGAGAAACTAGCTGGAATACACAGTGGAGACGTCGATCTCTGGCTCCTTGGACGAGACAGGGACCGAGTGAACGGTAGAAGGATGTCTTCCCATTCATGATGCTTAACAGTTACCAGTGCTGCCGCCCTTTAAAGAAGCGAAGGAGTATGCTGAAGAAGACCCGTTTGAGGAATGGGTTGACCGCTTCAAGGAAATGGCAGTCTAATGTAGATGGGACAACCATAAAAAGCTAGACGTCTAACACAGTTTCCATTGAGGCTGGAGGGCCCCGGCGCTAGATCCTTCTACAAGCCTTGCAGTGATTGAGTCTGAGAAGAGGAGCTGTGATGCTCTGAAAGCAGCTCTTGCTAAAAGATTTACTCCCGTTCGACTAACAGCAGTACAGACCAGTATGTTTCATTAGAGGAGACAAGGTTCGAATGAGTTGATGAGTATGCTTATAGGAGTTAAGGAAGTTATTCTATATATGAAGATTTTGAGTCTGGATTGCATAAGAAGCTGACTGGGATAGAACAGAACTTCGAGGAGTTGGTGTGTAAGGCTCGCTTTGAAGAGGCGAAGTGGAAGGAGAAAAACCTTGGATGGACCATAGATACAACACTGGAGGTACCAATGAACGGTATGAACGGACACACTGGAGACGATCTCTGGCTCCTTGGCCAAGACAAGGACTGAGGGAGCGGTAGAAGGATCTGTCTCCCCCATTCATGATGCTCAACAGTTACCAGTGCTGCCACCCTTTAAAGGAGCAAAGGAGGATGCTGAAGAAGACTCTTTTGAGGAATGGGTTGACCGCCTCGAGGAAATGGGAGTATGGTGTAGATGTGACGACCATAAAAAGTTAACACAGCTTCGATTGAGGCTGGAGGGTCCCGCTAGATCCTTCTACAAGTACAAGTCTTACAGTGAGTCTGAGAAGAGGAGCTATGATGCTCTGAAACCAGCTCTTGTTAAAAGATTTACCCCTGTTCAACTGACAGCAGTACAGACCAGCAGGGGAGACAATTAAAGTTCGAATGAGTCAGCTGATGAGTATATATGCTTAGGAGTTGAGGAAGTTATTATATAAAGCATATCCCCCAACCTATCGTGTGACTCCAGAAGCAGAATTATTAGGCAAGAGGAGCATTCTCTCTAATCAATCTGTTGTAGAAGGAAATTTCGAGGACTTGGTGTGTAAGGCTCGCTTGAAGAGGCAAAGTGGAAGGAGACAAACCTTGGACAGAAGAG